GAAGAGAAGACTCAGTATCGTTTTATTTTATTTATGAGTCCTTTTAAATGAGGTCTAGCTCTGTTGCCCAGGCTGGAGTGCAGTGGTGTGATCACGGCTCACTGGGCAGCCTCAGCCTCCTGGGTTCAAGTGATGCTCCCACCTCAGTCCCCTGGGCGGCCAGGCCAGGACCACAGGTGTGTGCCACCATGGCTGCCTATTCTTTTTAATTTAATTTTTTTTAGAAATAACGTTTCACTGTGTTGCCCAGGCTGGTCTCAGACTCCTGGGCTCAATCAACTCTCCCTCCTTGACCCCCCCGAAGTGCTGAGATTATAGGTGTGGTCACTACATCTGGCCTCAATATCTTAAAAATGTCACGTTTCCCTAAATTGATTTATAGAGTCAATGCAGTTCCAAGCAAAACTGAACTGGTGAGCTGTTTCTTTCTTTTTTTTTTTTTTTGAGACAGAGTTTCACTCATGTTACCCAGGCTGGAGTGCAGTGGCTCGATCTCGGCTCACCGCAACCTCCGCCTCCTGGGTTCAGGCAATTCTCCTGCCTCAACCTCCCGAGTAGCTGGGATTACAGGCACGTGCCACCATGCCCAGCTAATTTTTTGTATTTTTAGTAGAGACGGGGTTTCACCATGTTGACTAGGATGGTCTCGATCTCTTGACCTCGTGATCCACCCGCCTCGGCCTCCCAAAGTGCTGGGATTACAGGCTTGAGCCACCGCGCCCGGCCGAGCTGTTTCTGAACCTATACAGAAAGGGCAAAGGGCTGAAGGAGGACAAGGTGGGTGCTCACCCTACCAGACATGAAGATGGGTGGTAATGCTAGAGGAATCTGGGCAGTGTGACGTCATGTAAAACTCAGGGCCGGGCGCAGGGGCTCACACCTGGAATCCCAGCACTTTGGGAGGCTGAGGCAGGAGAATGGCTCCAGGCCAGGAGTTCAAGACCAGCCTGGGCAACACAGTGAGATCCTGTTTCCACAAAAATTTTAAAAATTAGCTGGGTATGGTGGCATGTGCCCGTGTTCCCAGCTACCCAGGAGGCTGAGGTGCGAGGATTGCTTGAACCTAGGATTTTGAGGGTGCAGTCAGCTATGATCCCACCACTGCACTCTAGCCAGACAAATGAGACCCTGTCTCGTAGAAAGAAAAAGACGACCAGGCATGAGGGTCCCCAAGATCACCTGAGGTTTAGTGTCACTAAGTCCCCTGCAGCTACAGGAGGTAAGGGTGACACTGACTCACGGCCACTCACAGGACACAGCACACGCCACGCTCTGAGACGCGCTTCAGGGAACAGTACACAGCCATGTAGCAAAGGAAAGAGGCGCACGGACCGGGCACAGCCCGAGGAAGCCAGGCTCAGGCACCCGAGAGCCTTCCAGGCGAGTCACGCGCGGTGCGCTTCTGCAACAAGCCGTAATGACACGTGTGAAGCGTTGTCTGCCTGAAAAGTTTGTTGGTGACTCATCGCCTGAGGCTGTTACTGGGGGGTGGTCACATCCATACCCTCTGCCTGGCATGTACCGAAATTCCGGAGTCCTGGATGGAAAGTGACGTCCAGCATAAGCCGCAGTGTTTGTGAGGATGAAGCACAGCAAACCACTGTCATCGTTTAGGGAAGGTTTCCGTCAGTCCGGGAGCTGATTCCCAGCCGCTCCCCGCCTCGCAGGCAGGCCTTTCTTAGGGCAGCCATGAGGCGTTCCATGGAGCAGAACGTGTGAATAGCCACGGAGCGTCTGGGAAGATGCTCAGCTTCATCCGTCATCAGAGAAAGGCAGGTTCAGAGACAACGGAAGCTCACGTGACGTGGGCAGGACCGGCTCGTGGACAGAGATTAATAACATCAATTGTGGACGTAATTTCTGTTGTAATTCAGCTGCTCTCAGCATGAAACGCTAGGCATGGTTTTCAGCTGTTTTAACTCTGCAGCTACAGGGGATAAGCGCCGACGCCTGCAGGTCCTCCACGCGGAGCTGCAGCTGGGAGCGTGACGCCTGAGCTGGCCGGCCCTCTTCCCCCGTTCTCCAGCGGTTGGCAGCACCCCGCCGGTCCACTGTTCCCAGCGGCTGGACTGCAGTGCTCTGAAGTAGCAAATACCTGGTCCCTCAGAATCTCTCCTTCTCTAGCTTCCCAATTAGGGCCATCCCATGGCAGTATCTGAATAATTTTACAACATCTCACCGTGGACTACTGTGCCCTCTTTGCTGCTGGAAACTGGGCCCTTTGTGTCCCTAAATGTAATAGTATCACGGAACCAATTCCAGGCGTCCCAGAACCAGTGCAGACGACTCATCTGTGCGACTTTTCTCTGTGACCACCTCCAGCCCAAAATTGGTCAGCTGGGCTGATGCAGAGAAGAAGCCAGCAGGAGAGGAACATTGGGACTGACTGGGAAGAACCGGCCTCCGTGCTTGCAGTGGCTGACCACCCACGTCCGGGAAGATGGTGAGTGGCGTGGAGCATCACTGGCACGTTTCCTGGTCAATTCAGAGTTTGTGGAGGAGGCCGAGGGCTGATGCCCTGGGCTTTCTGAAGCCTTGGGTTTGCTTTCGAAGACTGACTGTGTGTTCGGCCGCACACACAGCTTGTCAGGTCACGCTGTCGGAAGCCTTTGCCACCTGGGCAGGCTGAGAGCTTCCCAGATCATCGAGTCCTAGTTCCTTTCTGTTTAAAAGCTCTCCCCTCAGTCTCTCTTTCCACTCACGTCACCATAAGAAGCAAGTAGAGACCAGGCTGCACCGTCCACGCTGCCTGGAGGTCTCCTCAGCTCCACATCCAGGTTCTTCTGTGCGCCAGCAGGACACAGCCCCACGTTTGCCCAGGGGGTCAGGGCATGCTCCTCACACCCTCTGGGCTCTTGCTGGGAGTGCATTCCTTTTCTTTTTAAAAAATGCTTGTAAATTTATTAGTAGTGCTCCTTTTGAAGGTATGAAAAATGAAACTCAAGGTATAATCCTTATATGAAACAATGAACTAATCTACTCAGGAGTCTTAGCAGAAAACACATGATTTGGAAAGACCCTGCCGGGCGCAGAGGCTCTGCCTGTCATCCCAGCATTTCAGGAGGCCGAGGTGGGCGCATCGCCTAAAGTCAGGAGTTCAAGACCAGCCTGGCCAACATGGTGAAACCTGTCTCTACTAAAAATACAAAAATTAGCCAGATGTCGTGGCAGGCGCCTGTAGTCCCAGCTACTCTGGAGGCTGAGGCAGGAGAATCGCTCGAACCCGGGAGGCAAAGGTTGCGGTGAGCCGAGATTGCCCCACTGCGCTCCAGCCTGGGTGACAGAGTGAGACTCCGTCTCAAAATAAATGAATAAATAAATAAAATAAAATAAAAGCAATTAGAAAAATATTTGACTCCTTACTGATGGAAAAAAATAGAAGGAATAAAGGAAATTAGAAAAATATATGGGTAAGATTTCCCATAACTAGTATTTAAACGAATAGAAGGTTCAAGATGGATTCTCCACCTCTCCGATTTGTTATGAAGAATAAATACCACCTCACCCACTTCTTACGCCCCTGAGGGAGAAAACTGGTCAGCCTGGCTTTGGTCTGACACCCTCACACTTCGGCTGAGGTCTGGGCATCTCGCTTCACCCGCCTCCATCCCTAACCTTTGGGACTTTTCACGCCGTATTTCTGCTGTCTGTTTCAGGGTCATCTCGGCTTTCCCTGTGTGATCCTCAGGACTCTGCCACCCACTCACTACCTGATTCTAAAGCTACTTCCACATTTATTTATGTTTTTGAAATGGAGTCTCATTCTGTCACCAGGCTGGAGCGCAGTGGCGCAGTCTCGGCTCACCGCAACCTCCGCCTCCCGGGTTCAAGCGATTCTCCTGCCTCAGCCTTCGAGTAGCTGGGATTACAGGTGCCCTCCACCACCACGCCTGGCTAATTTTCACCATGTTGGCCAGGCTGGTCTTGAACTCCTGTCCTCATGATCCATCTGCCTCGGCCTCCCAAACTGCTGGGATTACAGGCGTGAGCCACCGCACCTGGCCGCTACTTCCATATTTTTAGCTGTTTGTCACACCAGCACCCGGCTCCTCGTACCACAGTCCATGTTATTTTTCTAATCCTGCTGTTAACAATTCACTAAAAGCTTAGCAGCTTAAAACAGTTTTGCGGGAGTCCAGAAGTCTGGGGGATTGAATCAGGTTCTCTGCCCAGGGTCTCGTGGCTGAAATCACAGAGTTGAGTGGCTGGGCTCTCCTGTGAGGCTTCTGGGCTTGGTCAGGTGTTAGCAGAATCCGGCTGCTCATGGCCATTGGACTGAGGCTTCCTGGTGTGGCCTCCTCCATCTTCAAGCCAACAATGGGACACGGAGTCCTTCCTGTGCTTTGACTCTCTGTCTTCTTCTGCCTCTTCTGTGTGCCATTCCTTCTTTTTTTTTTTTAGATGCAATCTTGCTCTGTCAGCCAGGCTGGAGTGCAGTGGTGTGGTCTCGGCTCACTGCAACCCCGCCTCTGGGGCTCAGGTGATTCTCCTTCCTCAGCCTCCCAAGTAGCTGATATTACCGGCGCCCACCACCACGCCCTGCTAATTTTTGTATTTTTAGTAGAGATGGGGTTTTGCCATATTAGCCAGGCTGGTCTTGAACTCCTGGCCTCAAGTGATCCACTGGCCTTGGCCTCCCAAGGTGCTGGGATTACAGGTGTGAGTCACCGCGACCGGCCCCATTCCTGCCTTAAAGGGCTCATGTGGTGACCCTGGGCCCACCCAAATAAGATAGTCTCTCTTGCTTAAGGTCAACTGATTCGTAGTCTTAATTACATGATCTGTAAATTGCTTTTGCAGGACAATGAGGCTGAGGCTGGGACCATCTCACACCCTTGGCCCCCAACGGCTCCATCCTTGGCCGTCCTGTTCCCAGAGCCTGCCTGGCACAGCTGGCAGCCGTGGATGAGCTGGAGAGTGGGCTTTGGTGCTGGAGGTGGGCACACCTGTGGCAGGGCAGCTGCTCCCAGGGAGGACCCCGAGCCCCTTCCCGCGCTCACCTCGGCTGCCTTGCGGTGGTCCTCATTGCTGCCCAGCACGTGCGCGTCCACACCCAGACAGCGGAGACTCCGTGCCAGCCCCTGTAGCATGTTGTCACACACCACACGGAAGGTCCTGGCAGGGACCCGAGGGATGGTGGCCTCAGCCACGGCCACAGGGACCTGCAGTGAGGGCCCGGTCAGCAGCTCCGCGGTCACCCACCCGGCCCCTCACAGCCTCACTGTCACCCGCCCAGCAGAAATGCAGACAAATGAAACGAAACCACCCCAGGGAGGTCTAGTGCTCACACTGGGGGGGCCACCCTATGTGTGTCGGGGTATGTGTGTGGCCTAGAGTTGGTGGGAGTCACGGGGAGGGGCCTAGATGCTGCCCTGCGAGGCCCAGTGTCAGGAGGGCATTCTGCCTGAGCAGTGGCCCCCAGTAAAGGGCGGTCCCCACGACAGTCATGCAGGAAGTTCAGCAGGACTCTGCTCCATCTCCCTGCAGGGGGCAGGGGTCCAGGGCCAGGGAGCTGAGTCCCCTCCACACGCTCGACCCAGCGACCTTGTCTCCATGCAGGTCCTTGGTTTATGGACAGACACCTCCTTCCCCAAGAATCCTGACGCAGGGACCCTGCGGGGCTTCACGCACCTGCCTGGGTGACGCCAACGCCTCCCGCAGGCCGGGCAGCTCCTGTGTCCCTGGTCTCTCTCTGTGCCTGGGCCTCTGGCTCCCAGCCAGGTCTCCCGACAAGTGGAAGCGGGCGGGCTCTCTGCACAGGGCTTGGTGCACCTCCAGCAGGCAGTAGGCATCAGCAGCTGTGGGGAGTTGACCTCAGCCTCCAGGGCAGCTGGCAGGAGGGCCGTGCGGTGTGAGGAGGGGTCACCGCCACCTGCCGCCCCACACACCTGCGTAAATGAGCTGCTCCTCGCAGAGCGGCCTCCGGTCCCAGTTGGACAGCTGCTGTGTCTTGTCCAGGGTCGTGCCCAGCACCTGCTGCACTAGGAGGCTCAGGCCTCTCAGCCCACTAGCCCCGTCCACGCCTGGGGTTGGCATGCCTGCCACACGCATCTGCTAAGACAGCGTCCACAGGTGATGCACCTGGCTCTGGAGGAGGACGGCCCACCACGCCCACTCACGCCAGCCACGTGGGGGCCCTGGAGGAGGACGGCCCGCCACGTCCACTCACGCCAGCCACGTGGGGGCCCTGGAGGAGGACGGCCTGCCACGCCCACTCACACCGGCCTCATGGCGGCTCAGGAGGAGGCTCTGTCCCCTCTGCCAGTGGCCAGTGCAGCAGAGACAGGGAGAAGGAGCAAACACAGCTAAGGACAGGCTCCATGTGGGGGTTGCAGGCTGCAGATGCTGCACCTACGGACAGCTCTGGGGTTCACACCTTCACCCCTAGGGGCTCCCGCCCAGAGCTGCTCCGAGTGGAACTTGGGGCACTGTCCCAGGAAGGTGCCCTCACGCCAGATGAGGGGCCCACAGGAGCTCAGGGACGCCCATGCGAGGAGGCTCCTCTCCTTCCCTGGGGACGCCAGATCCGCTTCTGCCAGGCCCTGCTCCGGGGCCCTGATGACTGAGGCTGAGCTGACAGGAACCCAGCAGGAGAAGCGCAGGGCCGTGGGGGAGGGGCCTCAAACAGCCCTCAAGCTCCAGGCCCACCCAGGCATTGTGTGAGCAGATCATGGCAGTGGCGCCCACCTGTCTGTGCACCAGCAGCAGGTCCATGCCACCCAGAACCTGCTTCTCCACGTGGGCCAGGGCAGGGCAGGACGTGCCCAGTTTCTGCAGGTCCCCCGCCATCCCATAGCCTGTGGGCAGGAACCATCGTGGGAGGGGCACCAGACCCCAGGTGCACCCAGCACCCCTCCCTGGGCGCATGGAGGAAAGGGTGGGAGGGATGGCACTGTCTCCCCTGACCCCAGAGGTGCCCAGCACCCTCCCCAGGCGCACGGAGGAAAGGGTCCGTCAGAGGTGCGGGCTGCTTCCCTTCTGGACTGGCAGGGGGCCCCAGGGCTTCACTCACCCAGCTTGGTGATGGACGGGTCTGAGAAGAGCTGGGCCACCAGCTGGGAGAAGGCCTGGGCTCCCTGTCCTGCTGGCGGATGCGTGAGTGCCAGAATGTCAAAAAGGAACACGCGGCCCTCCATGGCCACTTGCAGGAGTGATGGCCGGGGCCGGCCGCCGGCAACGAACACCGGTGTCCACTCCAGGTCCACACCAACCACCTGCTGGGGCTGCGGGCAGAGATGGGCATCTGTGAGCGTCGGGGCCAGCTTGGCTCTGCAGGGACTGCAGCCTGGAGGGCTGAAAAGCTCTGTGAGCCCTGGCTTTGGGGAGACACCGCCCTGCACGCTTGTGGCTGGGGTTGTTGGGGACACTAAGGCCAGTGTCCCAGCTGCCTCTTGCTTTCTATGGCTGCATCAGAGAGGGGAGGCCTGGCTGCTGTGAGCAAGAGCCTGGCCTAGTGTCAACAGCAGTGCCCATGTCAGGGACCCACCCCACATCTTGGGGCCCCATCTGTAAAATGGGGATCCCACGGCAGCTTCCTCAGGCTGGCAGGAGGCCCAGGTGAAGGCCAGCACCCAGCAGCCCGGAGCGTCACCAACGCACAGCATGGGGAACGGCTGCCCTCACAGCAGCTCTGGGGCGCCTGGTGGGTCCCTGCCCAGAGGCTGTGCTTCCCTCCAAATGCCGTGCCCCTGAGTCTCCTCCAGTTTTTGGCAGAGAGTCCTGCCACCGGGCGCTGCCCCTGACCTGCAGGAGGGCACCCTCGTGTCTGGCGAGGTCTTCTCGAGAGGCCAGGAGGTAGACGTTCTCCCTGGGGATGGGCAGCTGGTAGTGCTGGTCCTTCATGTCCTTCACGTCGGGCCTCGAGTCAGCGTCAGCTGCCCTGGGAGGAGCAGAGCTGGTGGCGTCCCCATGTCCCTGGGTCCCTGGTCCCCACCCACTCTGACCGCAGGGCTGGAGGGGAATGCTCGGGGCCTGTGTGGTGGGGGCGTCTGGAGTCCTGGCTCCTCCTCCCACACAGGCTCAGTCCAGGCCCCAGCACGACCCCTGCTCCTGCCCCTCCTTCCAGGTGACTGCCCCCCAGACCCTCGGGCAGCCTGCTCCTCAGACCCCTGCGTGGGTTGGCCCGGCCATGTCCGTGGCTGCAGGGTCCGTGGGCAGCAGCAGCTGCGACGGCCGGCCCTGCTGTCTTCTCTGCTCCATGCACAGGTATGCTGTTTGCTTTGTTCTCTCTTGGTTTCTGATTCTCAAGCCATTGGTGTGCAGATTGGTGAGCTGCTGTCCCAAGGGCAGGGGCCATCCTGGGCAGAACCCACCCCTGGCTGGGGTCACCCTGGGGTGCTCACCTCCCCTGGAGCCGGAGCCGGCCGAGCTCTGCAGCCACTGTGGCTGGCAGCTGGTCCTCGGGCAGCAGGAGGTTCAGGGCGCACCTGGCGGCTGTGCCTGGGTCACTGAGGGAGGTCAGCAGCTGAGACAGCTGCTCCTGAAGCCACGGGCTGTGTCCCACGAGGCCCTGTGAGGAGGGTCCATGAGGATGGGGACGGGGACATGGCTCTGCCCTGAGGGACTCCCAAAGACCCCGACCTCACAGGCTCTGAGGACTCTGGGAGGAGGGGCGGCTGTCCACCCAAGGCCTGCAGTGCCCATCCCGCCTGAGGCCCTGGGTTGGTTCCACAGGACCGAAGCAGCTGAGATGGAGGCACTGAGGCAAAGGCTGTCCACTGCAGCTCAGCCCCGGCCAGCCCCTCCTGGCCCCCAGCCTCCACTGACCCAGCCTCCCGGCCTCCACTGACCCTCTGGCCTCCCAGCCTCCGCTGACCCTCCCTGCCTCCCGGCCTCCGCTGACCCTCCCTGCCTCCCGGCCTCCACTAACCCTCCCGGCCTCCCGGCCTCCACTGACCCTCCCTGCCTCCCGATCTCTGCTGACCCTCCCAGCCTCCCGGCCTCCCTGCCTCCGCTGACCCTCCCGGCCTCCACTGACCCTCCCTGTCTCCCGGCCTCTGCTGACCCTCCCGGCCTCCGTTAGCCCTCCTGCTGTCACCAGGCTTCCACCTGCACCCCAGGTCCCAGGAGCCTGGGTGGGTTTTCTGGAGTACCTGCCTAACCTGCCCCATGCAACGATCCTCTTCTTGCCAGGGGAGCCCCTCTGCCCCTTCCCCTCGTCCTCCTCACTTTGTGGGGTTTGGCTGGCCGGGCTCAGAAGGTCAGGGATGCCCATTCACCCACGGCCCGGGAGGAGACAGAGGGGTGGCCTCCAGGCGGCAGTGACCAAGGGGGTCCCGAGAAGCCTCGTCCTCGCCAGGGTGAGCTCTCGCCCACCCTGCAGTGCCTGTGGCAGTGCCAGCCTGGGAACAGAGGTACCCACAGGCCTGCTGGGCCCTTAGCCCCTGCCAGGAAATCCAGGACCCAGCACAAGCTCCGAGGGTCTCCCTCCCAGCAAGGTCCTGGAGTCCGTGGGTCCAGGGTGGCCTGAGTGTCAGGTGGGAAGGGGGGGACCCACCTGGGAGGCTGAGCTCCCACACAACCTCCCACCCACAGCCTCAAGGAGGGTCCGCCTGCCTCACTGGCTTCAGGCCCAGCAGCCCGAGGCTGCATCCCTGGCGTGGGTTCCCACGTGGACGACAATACGTGGAAGCCGCCCGCATTCTTCAGGACGTCCGCTGCCCTTCCGGCCGGCTCTGTGCTGGCACCGGGGGGGCCTGGCCTTCCTCCTTCTGGCCTCGCCCAGGCCCCACACCTCTCCGGGGACTCTTGGCCCCCACCCGGCCGCACAGGCAGCTCCGCCGGCCGGTTTAGGTGGCACGGACGCTGCCATCTGCCTGGAACGAGGCCCAGCCAGGCTCCCCCAAGGCCCTCTGCTTCCGAGTGGGCTGCCCGGCCCAGGGATCCCGCACCTGCCTGCCAGGCACACGCCCTAACACAGGGTCTGGGGTCAGCGGCCCCAACAAAGGCCTCAGTCTGCCCGCTTTTGCCCGGAGGCTCCGGGCCTGTGCCCCCCAGACAGCTGCCCAGTGCTCTGCAGCCCCACGGGGCACGGACTCACTTGCACGTGGTCAGCCCAGTTCTCCTGAGACAGGCTCTTCTGTAAAGGCAAACAGGGGAGGGAGGCGGTTTCCAGGCGCCTCCAGAGGCTGAACAGGGGCTTGGTGGGAGCCCTCCTTGCCCTCGCACAGCTCAGATGCTGGCCCACCCCGGTGCCACGGCCCAGGGCTGGGACCCGGGGCCTCCCTTCCCCCAGGCCTGGCCCAGTTTCCCAGCTCTGGGGCGAGACGCGGCCCCTCTCGGGACACCCCTGCGCCCCGTGGTGCACAGTGAGTATCCCAGACCAAAGTCTGTGGCTCAGGCCACGATCGCAGCCCGCCAGCCCCCTCCTGCTCACGAACCTCCACAAACCGCTTGTGGCACAGGTGCCGCAGGGCTGCCAGGCGCTGCTGCGTGGCCGCGTGGGGACACAGTGCTGAAAGGGAGGGGCCAGCTCAGCACTGCAGGCTCAGGGCAGCCTTGCTGCTGCCGCCTCCAGGGCAGGTGGGAGATGGCAGAGGGGCTGGCATGCCTTTCCACTCCCTTCCACCTCTACCCGGACCGTACCCCCAAACCACCACCTGGGCCCCTGCTGGGGTCCGTCCAACCCAGTCTAGGGGTCCCGCTGGCCCTGGGGTCTCCCTTGCACTGGTGCGGCAGGTCCGGGCCTGCCTGTCTTTCCTCAGAAGGTTCCCGTCCGGTGTCGGCGTCTGCGTTTGTGCCCTGCCCTTCTCCTGATGGCACATGGAACCCTCCTGGACGAGGCCGGCTGGTCACTGTGGGTCCCATGCCTGGAGCAGGCCCCAGAATCCGCAAGAACTGAGACACACACGCGTCCACACCCTCCATCAGCCTCACCAGAGTCCACACTGACACACACG